ATATGAAGCCCTTGAACTCTGAAATCACTAGATTTGCACTTCCTTCAGCCTTCTCTTGCCTTGATCACCTTCTCCTTCAATTTACACCAACAAAAGATCAACAATGGCCACTCTTTACCTCACAAACGATCTAGGTCTCTCTCTGGGGTATGGTAGCCGCTATTGACGGCCATAAGGGCCTTTAAATAGGTCCCAAACCCTGGAAATTAGGGCTTCATTAAACAGCGTGGACTCGCCGAGTCCATACGTGAACCCGGATGAACATCCACGACCCTACTCTGCGAGTCTTGGCACCAACTCGTCGAGTTCCTCTACAAACTCCAAAATAAATGAATAAAATAATATACCTGGGAATCCGGATGTTACAATTGAGGTATAAACGGAAAAAAAGATTCGGATGAAGTAGACGATGATGTGACAAAAAATGGACCGCCGGCTAAAATCTTGTGGTATCTCCCTATTATACCAAGACTAAAAAGGTTATTTTCAAACGAAAAAGAAGCAAAGTTACTTTGTTGGCATTTAGAAGAACGTGTAACTGACGAGAAACTAAGACATGTTGTGGATTCACCTCAGTGGAGAAATATTGATAAGAAGTATCTTGAATTTGAAAAAGAGATGAGAAACATACGGTTTGGGCTTAGTTCAGACGGAATCAACCCTTTTGGGAACATAAGCAGTCGTCATAGTACGTAGCCGGTTCTTTTATTCATTTACAATCTTCCACCGTGGTTATGCATGAAACGGAAATACATTATGATGTCGTTGTTGATTCAGGGGCAGAGACAACCTGGTAACGATATTGATGTGTATTTGTCTCCTTTGATTGATGACTTAAAAACTCTTTGGAGTTCGGGTGTAGATGATGTATATGAGGCTTATAAGAAACAACATTTTCAATTGCGGGCCATGATTTTTTTGTACTATAAGTGATTTTCCAGTATACGGTAACTTGTCAGGATACAAAACAAAGGGTAAGAAAGCTTGTCCAATTTGTGAAGATCAAACAAGCTCGATATGGTTAACAAATTGCAAAAAAATTGTATACATGGGACATCGAAGATTCCATCCGAAGGGTCACCGTTTTAGGAAGAAAACTATTGAGTTTGATGGAAGCATTGAGATTAGAACGATGAGGAAACGATTTGATGCATTTTCACGACTTGCAAATATAAATGTTGTGTTGGGAAAAAGATTTCTTGTTGATAAAAATGCCCTTCGGAAAAAAAAGGCAATTTTTTTTGAATTGCCTTACTGGAGACATTTGGATGTTAGACATTGTCTGGATGTTATGCATATAGAAAAAATGTATTTGAGAGCTTGATATGCTTATTATTAGATATGAAGCATAAAACTAAAGAAGTTAACGTCCGAGAAGACATGACCGAGATGGGGATACGTGAAGATCTTGCCCCCGAACAGAGTGCTAACGGTGTTTATCTCCCACCTGCTTGTTATACTACATCAAAAGAAGAAAAAAAAATCAAGTTTTGTCGATGTTTACATGATATTAAGGTCCCATCAACTTATTCTGCAAACACTAAAAGATTTGTGTCGATGAAAGATTGTAAATTGTTTGGAATGAAGTCTCATGATTGTCATGTTTTGATGACACATATAATTCCTATCGCAATTCGTGGAATTTAACAAGATGATGTTCGACATTCTATCATTAAGCTTTGTTTGTATTTTAACAGCATTCACTCAAAGGTTATTGATGTAGAAGATTTGGATCAATGGGAGAAAGACATTTATGTTACACTTTGTGAACTACAGATTTACTTTCCACCCTCATTTTTTGATATAATGGTTCACCTTATATCTCATATCTTACAAGAAATTAAGGTTTGTGGTCATGTATTCTTAGAGTACGTGTATCCTTTTGAAAGATACATGGGTATCCTAAAAAGTTACGTAAGAAACCGTAATCGGCTAGAGGGCAGTATTGTTGAATGGTATACTTGTGAAGAGGTGACTGAGTTCTGCCAAGGTAATTTATAATATATTACAATTATGATAATTTATAATATATTTTATATAATATTAATATTTTTTATAGGCTATATGAAAGATGTCGAAAGTGTTGGTGTTCCTAAAACTCGTCATTCGGGTCCACTTGAAGGTAAGGGAGGAGTCGGTTTCAAAATAACCATGCCAACTTATGAAGAGTTACAAGTTGCACATTTAGTGGTCCTAAAACATATGAAATGTCTTACTCCTTACGTTGATGAACACATGGACATGTTAAAGTCGAAATACCTGGGTAAGGAACAATTATGGTACATAAACAATCATAACAAAGAGTTTTCGAGGTGGCTGGAAAAGAAGGTAGCAGAAACTAATGTTGATGAAACCGTGAAAAGGTTGGGACATGGGCTAGATTGTAGAGTTAAAACTTATCAAGGGTACGACATTAACAGTTATACGTTTTACACCAAAGATCAAGATGAAAAAAGTACAATGCAGAATAGTGGAGTTACAATGATAGCATCAACAACCGAATTTGACGAACATGATCATGATACTTTGTTAAGAATAGCCAAAGATTCTTATTATGGTGTTATACAAAAAATTTGGGAGTTGAACTATTATGAGTTCGTTATTCCTGTGTTCAAATGTACAATGTACAGGTGTTCAAGTTGATTAAGATGGTTTTACACTTGTCGACCTTACAAATAATGGCTATGTATCTGAGCCATTCATTCTCGCAAAACATGTCACACAGGTTTTCTTTATCAAAGACCCGAGCAAGAAAAAAGAGCACATCGTCTTACAAGGCAAACGACATATTTTTGGTGTTGATAATGTCGTTGACGAAGAAAAATACGACCACTTTGATGATCTACCACCATTTTCGGTTGGTATTGAACCCGGTAATTACGATAATATTGAACGCACAACATTCGTACGATCTAACATCGAAGGGACATATGTTGATTAAGTGCATTAATGTTTTTTTTTCATTTTTGAATATTGTTTTTACATGATTTTTGTATCAAATACTATCTATTGATAATGTAATTACAATATTGTCCTTATCTTTTGATAATTACAATTTTTATATAATTGTTATAAGAAAATATTGAATAAAAAATAAATTTAGCAGGGAAAACATTTACTTAGTGGTGTTTGATCACTTGTGGTGTGCATTTAATGTATTAGGTAACAACCTGTTCTGATAACAAAAATAGACCACAATTAGGTAATCTACTTTTAACGTAAAAACCGCATTAAAAAAAGAACAATATGGCATTAAAAGATCAGGGAAACCGCAATAAAAGATAAACCAACCGCCTCAAAAAATTCAATTACGAAAATCGCATCAAAAAACAAAGTAACCGCCTCAAAAAAAAAACACCAAAAAAGAACCACCAAAACCGCACCAAAAAATGAACCACACCGCACTAAAAAATGAACCAAAAAGCATTAAATAATAGAACCGCCTTAAAAAAACCTCAATAAATACAACTTAAAATCGGAAACTAAAATAGCATCAAAAAATCAAAAAAAAAAGCATCAAAACAAATTGATTGTCAACCATTCGATCCTATTTTTATCTACGGATGAGGATATTCTATAATGGATCACACGGATTGAGTTTTGATTGGTTGTATTTTAGAGAATATAGTCATTTGTTATTTTCTTTTTTAGATAAATTAAATTTTTTAATTTAAAAAGCAACAAGTAATAATTTTTTAAACTTTAAAGTCAATTAATGTACAATTTATTGGTAAAATGAAAAAAAAACTCATTATAGCTAAGTCCTGTTCTTTATAGGGAAAATGACTTGCTAAGGTAATTGATTTTACGATATGTTCACATCTGAGTAACTATCTTTTTTTTTGTACACATCTAGGTAAAAAACTTGTTGGAAGTAAACCATAAGCCCTAACCCCTAAACACTAAACACCAAACCTTGAACCTTAAACCTTACACCCTAACCACTAAACACTAAACCATAAGTACTAAACCCTTAAACCCAAAACCAAAACCCAAAACTCCAACTCAAATCCATAAACAGTAAACCGTAAGCCCTAACCCCTAAACCCTAAACACTAAACCTTGAACCTTAAACCTTACACCCTAACCACTAAACACTAAACCATAAACACTAAACCCTAAACCCAAAACCCTAACACTAAACCCTTAAACCCAAAACCAAAACCCAAAACTCCAACTCAAATCCATAAACAGTAAACTGTAAGGCCTAACCCCTAAACACTAAACACTAAACCTTGAACCTTAAACCTTACACCCTAACCACTAAACCATAAGTACTAAACCCTAAACTCAAAACCCTATCACTAAACCCTTAAACCCAAAATTAAAACCCAAAACTCCAACTCAAATCCATAAACAGTAAACCGTAAGGCCTAACCCCTAAACACTAAACCTTGAAACTTAAACCTTACACCCTAACCACTAAACACTAAACCCTAGACCCAAAACCCTAACACTAAACCCTTAAACCCAAAACTCCAAATCCAATCCATAAACAGTAAACCGTAAGGCCTAACCCCTAAACACTAAACACTAAACCTTGAACCTTAAACCTTACACCCTAACCACTAAACACTAAACCCTAGACCCAAAACCTTAACACTAAACTCTTAAACCCAAAACCCAAAATGAACGGTCTATGTTGTATTTAATGGCTTTCACATTTATAAACAATGAAACCAATATGTCCGAGCTTCCCCAAGGGACGATTAAAGATTTTCAATTTTTGGTAAACAATTATTTTTTTTCACTCTATGAAGATTTTGATTTTTTAGTTAATAGATCTTACCAAGTATTTTTTTTCATAGGAACAAGAAGAGAAAAGAATGATAGCTGATGGGAGTTATTTTCAAAATAAAGAAGACCCATTAATTAGACTTTTGGGACGCGAGCATAGGGGGCGTTCACGGACAATATCCAATATAATTGGCCATACTCAGGTTTATGGTGGATTGTGTAAGAATGTGGAAAGTAGTCGAAGCATGAGACAATAGGTTGACATGATCCCAACATTCCATGAATCTAGTGGTGCGTCTGGTGGACGGTTGACAGAATACCCACCTATTGAGGTAATATATTTATAGTTTCCACATAAAATAATATATATATATATATATTATAAGTTATGTTTTTTATATTATATTTACAAAAAATGTTGTATGATTCGCAGGTTAGGACAAAATGTGATTTGCTAGTGAATGTGGCTGATACCCAATTGAAAGTAGCTAATGGTATTGCATGGCCAACATCTGAAACGGTCATACATTCACAACCAATAAGTAAAGGTTGTGTGAAAGTACAGGTTGATGAAATCGTCGAAATATATGAGAACTTGCATGTGCATGCCGTCACACGAACGGAAGAAGTTGAATATGTTAAACATCTTCTGCATACCATCGTTCAGTGGCCGAGATATGCAATAAAGGTATATTTATATTTAAATATAACTATATATTTTAGTATATGTTTATTTAAATATTACAAAATATTGTAGCTTGTGAACAAGATACCTAGCAAATCAAATAGTGGCACGGGAATGGGTTCGAATCGCGGCTCACCACAGATACATGTTGATGACATCACGACGACTTCAGTTTATCGTCCACAAGTAGTCGACCGGTTCACTCTTAATTTTTGTTAATTTAGTTTTATTTTGTTAATATTATAACAATTTGTTTGTTATTTTAGTTTGAGGAAAACCACATCGCTTATCAACATGGAATTATTGAACATTTTCAAGGTGGTTTAGTTGATATGGTTAGTCTTAAAAACTTGTTTTATGCTTATTTTTAGATTTATTATGTTTGTTTTTAGATGTTTTATGTTTGTATATAATCATATCTAAGTACTAATGTTTTGTGTTTGTCTCTATATGTTATCTATAAATCCACCACAAGTTGATTTATATGGACCCGGACCCGGACCCGAACCCAATTTTGAATCCGATTTCGAATCTGAATCCGATTCCGAATCCGAAACCGAAACCGAACCTCAATTCCATTCACATGATGAACCTGTGTAACATCCGGATTCCCAGGTATATTATTTATTCATTTAATTTTTGGAGTTTGTGGAGGAACTCGGCGAGTTGGTGCCAAGATTCGCCGAGTAGGGTCGCGGATGTTCATCCTAGTTCACGTCCGGACTCGGCAAGTCTATGGGTGGACTCGGTGAGTCCACGCTGTTTAGTGAATCCCTAATTTCCAGGGTTTGGGACCTATTTAAAGGCCCTTATGGCCGTCTATAGCGGCTACTACACCCCAGAGAGAGTCTTAGATCGTTTGTAAGGCAAGGAGTGGCCATTGTTGATCTTTTGTTGGTGTATATTGAAGAAGAAGGTGATCAAGGCAAGAGAAGGCTAAAGGAAGTGCAAATCTAGTGATTTCAGAGTTCAAGGGCTTCATATTAAGGTATTCTTTCGGGCTTCTCCAGTTTTGAGTGGTTATTTATAGAGTTAGGGTTTTCTCACCCTTTGAAAGATGATTGTGTAGAGTATTTGGTCCCTACTCGAGTTTGTACCTTGGATCTGGACTCAAAGAGGTCCAGAGACCTTAACCCTTGGAGCTTTATGAGTCATTTTGGGGTTATTGGACCTAGGTTGCCATTTTTGGGACTAAATCACCATTTGATGCCTTTTGGTTGATATATAAGCATCAAGATTCAGACTTTACGTGACATTCATGCTTGGGAAGGCCAGATCTATGGATTAGGGGCACAGATCTGACCTCAGGAGGTCAATAGCGTTTATGCATGGCATGAACTCGCCGAGTTGTTCTTGAGACTCGGCGAGTAGAGTTAAGGCTTCACGCAAATCACTCAGTGAGTAGACTTGCCGAGTTAGAGGATAACTCAGTGAGTCAGAAGGGGATTAAAGGATTGGAGATCAAGGCGGTACTCGCCGAGTTGTTCTTGAGACTCGGCGAGTGTAGTCGGGGTGGCCCCGCGATTCATGCCAGGTGTGACTCGTCGAACATAGGGAGGGACTCGACGTGCCAAGCGGGACAAAGAGTTAGTGGACATATGTGTACTCGCTGAGTCGCCGGAGTGCACTCGGCGAGTTGAGTCAAAGTTTGACCGTTGACTTTTGTTGACTTTTAGGGTTTGGTCAACAATGGGGTCCTTGGGTCATGAGGGGGGTAAAATAGCCGTTTACCCTTCTGAGGATGACAATAGAGGGTTGAGTCTAGTCTCGAGAGTTATATTTATGAGAGTATTTACTTTATGTGAATAGGCGGAGGCTAGGCAATATTTCTACCAAGTCAGAGATTTACCGAGACGTCTGAGGTGAGTCTTCTCACTATGCCTTACTCGATGGGGTAATTATGTGTGATCGGAAGGTCTTATGTGTATGATGTATATGTGATGTATGCTATATGTGATATGTTATGTGAGATGAGTATGATGTTGTGGACCGGAAGGTCAAGATGATATGGACTGGAAGGTCAACAAAGTTCTGGGATGGACCGGAAGGTCAAGACACTTGGATCGGAAGATCCTAGGGCCTGGAAAGGCGTATGTGCAATATGTGGTATTTTGGGGAACTCACTAAGCATTTATGCTTACAGTGTTATGTGTTATGTGTTTCAGGTACCAGTGATGATCGCGGGAAGGCGCTAGCATGACTCGTACACACGCACAATGGAGTTTATATATATTGATCTTGGGGTTTTGTACTGATACAATGTGATACAATGTTTTTATTTATAAATGCAAATGATATTTCATGGTTTTTGATGTGTGTAAAACCCAACTAGTTTTAAACCTACTTTTTAATAAGAATAAACACACAAAGGCAGAGGACCTATCAATTGTGGTAAAGCTAAATAAGTAGGGTATCGAACACAGGGAACGGTAAATTAAAACTAAAAACTAATTTTATCTAAATTAATTAATAAGTAGGGGTTTTCTCTAGTTTTACAAGACTAGAAACTTACTAACTATCACTTAATCTAAAAACTAGGAAAGCAAAGAACTAACTAGATTCAATAATGGGAAGGAAATTCTGTTTAGTTCAACTCAATTGATCCTATGGTTGATTTTATGGTAATAGTGCAATGGATTAACTCAATTGTTGGCTACCGACTCAAGTGATTAATTTCGCGTTCACTACACTAACCCTTAGTGAATAAACTAACTCAAACAGTGATCAGTTGTCTAATTTAATTAAATTCACTAGATTAATTATTCGGATTAATTTAGACTTGCAATTGTCAACTAATTTGGTCCTTTAGTTAACTTCTTGTTGATGGTCATCACACAAGCTCACACATGAATTTACTTAATTTTCTTATTAACTCTAGTTTCATGTTCATTAATCCTAGACATATGATAAAGTGGTCACGTAAACATATGAGGTTGGTAATCAAAAGATGTTCATACTATTTAATAACCTTCCTATTAACAGAAAATTAATTATCATTCACACACAAGGTTCTTTAGCAAGCTAAAATAACAAAAATCACCAACATTAAGTTAATCCTACCAATAATCAAACCATAGTATCAATTTTGTATCCCCAAACAGAAGTTTAAGAGTTTTAGCTCATAATTAAGGTAAATAACAACAAACAAACGAATTCTAAGTGTTTAACCATAATGGAAAACAAAAGATTAAGTAGAATGATGAAAATTGCCTTAAATCTCCTTCGTAATTGGATTCTAGGTTGTATCTTCGCTCTCTAGGGTTTTTCTGGCTCTTCAATCACAGCTGATCTCTCCAGAAGGGTTCCAGAATATCCTTCTGTCGATCTGAGGAGTTATCTTTATATACGAACCGACTCGTCGAGTCAGGCTCCAACTCGCCGAGTTCATCTCTTAATCCCCGTATGCGATAAGCCTCTGAGTCTCCGAGTCCTTATCTTCTCGAATATTCGCTCGGACTCGCCGAGTAGTCGACCCTACTCGCCGAGTAGGTGTTGTTTTTAGTGTTTTTCTTCTTTGATCAATTCCCGAGCTTCTGACCGCTTCTCCTGCTTCCTTTTGCTTCTGAGCTTCACTTTTGGACTGAAAACATAATTCAAACACTTTTAAGTATCTTTTGTCCATGAAATGCAATAAATTAGCTAATAAATGATAAAAATCTATACTTATTATGAGGCTAAATATGCAAATATCAAAATACCCCACACTTGACTTTTGCTTGCCCCCAAGCAAAACTGAATTAGAATCACATATGACAACTCCAATTTAACCCAGCCATTATGCCAAGACCGCAACGCATACATTTGTGTCTAAATTTTTTTCCTAAATACCCCCCATTACTCCAAATACTCACAATCCTCATAAACATTCGCCCACTTATCCCGAACAGTGCTCATTTTATGCATCCCTCCGAATCCATCCGCAGAAAACCTCCTTTCCTCAAGGTATTTTTGGTTGAGCAACCCAAGCATACATAATCTAGAATTACAATATATAAATGATACCACTATAAAGTTCTTCGGAATTCATTACTTCTTTGGCATTTGATCTTTATTTCTTTGAATTCACTATCTTCTTGATCTTTGGTATCTTCAAATTTTTTTTAATTTTCAGAATTTTCAATCCTTTGATATTCACTTTGAAAGCTCCAAAATTCTTCAAACTTTTCTTGTAATTCTATCTTTTTTTCCTCTCTCAAAACCCTACATGCTTAAGCAGGGGCGCTCAACTTCAACCTTTATTGGCTAACGATAATAATTTTCCTGGATACATTTCTGGTACACGATGCTAAACATATTGCATCCCTCGGGCTAAGCAAGGTTGTGTTTTTGTCCCATGATTTCACTAGAATAAGGGAGGCCACAAATGCACTATAACGTATATTGGCTCAACTAAACATTTGGGTCTTCATGCAATTATCAACATAATTCTAACATGGAATCCTAATTATTATTTTTACCAAACTTTTCTAAATTAATTCCTAATTCATATTCTTGGTATGCAAAAAAAAATTAAAATTAGCCCAAATTAAGATTCTAGATTTACTAATATGTGACCAACCCCCTACCCCACACTTATTTTATGCAATGCCCTCATTGCATATCATGCAAAAATAAAAATTCAAACTATAGAGAGAATTGGAACAAACTCCCCTAGGGTAGCAGTCGATAGGTTGATAACTCTTCTTTTCAGCTCCTTCTTCGATTGACTTTAGACATGGTATAAATGATACCACTATAAAGTTCTTCGGAATTCATTACTTCTTTGGCATTTGATCTTTATTTCTTTGAATTCACTATCTTCTTGATCTTTGGTATCTTCAAAATTTTTTTAATTTTCAGAATTTTCAATCCTTTGATATTCACTTTGAAAGCTCCAAAATTCTTCAAACTTTTCTTGTAATTCTATCTTTTTTTCCTCTCTCAAAACCCTACATGCTTAAGCAGGGGCGCTCAACTTCAACCTTTATTGGCTAACGATAATAATTTTCCTGGATACATTTCTGGTACACGATGCTAAACATATTGCATCCCTCGGGCTAAGCAAGGTTGTGTTTTTGTCCCATGATTTCACTAGAATAAGGGAGGCCACAAATGCACTATAACGTATATTGGCTCAACTAAACATTTGGGTCTTCATGCAATTATCAACATAATTCTAACATGGAATCCTAATTATTATTTTTACCAAACTTTTCTAAATTAATTCCTAATTCATATTCTTGGTATGCAAAAAAAAATTAAAATTAGCCCAAATTAAGATTCTAGATTTACTAATATGTGACCAACCCCCTACCCCACACTTATTTTATGCAATGCCCTCATTGCATATCATGCAAAAATAAAAATTCAAACTATAGAGAGAATTGGAACA